GAAAATAGTAAAAAAAAAAATGAAATCTTATTTCAAAAAAAAAAATTCATCATTTGTGAAAAAAAAAATATTTTCTAGTTGAAAAAAAAAAATGTGAACCAGATCCAAAAAAAAAACTTATAAACTGAGAAAAAAAAAAAACTACCATAAGACTAAAAAAAAAAGCGGAAATCAGTAGAAAAAAAAAAATGAAAGCATTAGTAAAAAAAAAAGAGTGAAGCAAGTTAAAAAAAAAATAAGCAAGTTTTCCAAAAAAAAAATCAACATCACCTTTAAAAAAAAAAACACCAGATAGTTTAAAAAAAAAACAAAACATACAGATAAAAAAAAAACAATATTCTTTTTTAAAAAAAAAAATTTATTTATTTGAAAAAAAAAAACAAAGCGAGAGAGGAAAAAAAAAAAGGGGGAGTGGGAGAAAAAAAAAAAGGCTTCCCGCGGAAAAAAAAAAACGATGCGGGGCTCCAAAAAAAAAACCTGGGATCATGACAAAAAAAAAAGGCAGATGCTTAACAAAAAAAAAACCCAGGCGCCCCATAAAAAAAAAATTCTTATTTAATTGAAAAAAAAAATAATTCAGAGCTGTAAAAAAAAAAGCTTCTGGTGTAAAAAAAAAAAAATAAAAGTCACGTCTAAAAAAAAAAAGGATTTAGGAAGCAAAAAAAAAACCTATTGTATTAAGAAAAAAAAAATGGATCAAAAGCAGAAAAAAAAAAAGGTTAGAAGAGATAAAAAAAAAAAGGGTACCAGTGGTAAAAAAAAAATGGTAATGGAGTTAAAAAAAAAAAGACTGGATCAAGATAAAAAAAAAACAACGGTAAGGAAAAAAAAAAAAAAGCCACTGGACAATAAAAAAAAAATTGGGAAACTAGGTAAAAAAAAAAACTTCTTTTTTTTTAAAAAAAAAATTTATTTGACAGAGAAAAAAAAAAAGAGAGTGAGCACAAAAAAAAAAAGCAGCAGGCTAAGGAAAAAAAAAAAGCAAGCTCAGTGGAAAAAAAAAAGCAGGGCTCAATCCAAAAAAAAAAGGATCATGACCTGAAAAAAAAAAAGACGCTTAATGACTAAAAAAAAAAGGTGCCCCTCCCCAAAAAAAAAAATAGAAGTAATTTATAAAAAAAAAAATGGTAGAAGAGTTAAAAAAAAAACATCAATAAGAATGAAAAAAAAAAAAAAGATGCTTACTAAAAAAAAAACTCACTCCAGAATTAAAAAAAAAATTATACAACTCTCAAAAAAAAAAAAGTAGGCCAAGAAAAAAAAAAAAATGGTAAACTATCACAAAAAAAAAACAAACATCACTCCAAAAAAAAAAAAAGATGTTGTTCTTAAAAAAAAAACATGTGGCTGGAGCAAAAAAAAAACCACATGGCATCAAAAAAAAAAAACATTAGACAAGGCTAAAAAAAAAAATCATCTTCCACTTAAAAAAAAAAGGGATATGGATGAGAAAAAAAAAATCCCAGAGACTGATAAAAAAAAAATTCATGTACCAGAGAAAAAAAAAAGGAGATCAAGGGAAAAAAAAAAAAGTCAAGGATAGGGAAAAAAAAAAAATTAAGATAATCCTAAAAAAAAAAGAACTAACCATTTTAAAAAAAAAATACTAAGGCACTTCAAAAAAAAAAAGGGGCCTGTTAAGAAAAAAAAAAGTTTTTTCTTTTGAAAAAAAAAAATATCTTTCTATCTAAAAAAAAAAATATCTATCTATCTAAAAAAAAAAATATCTATCTATTGAAAAAAAAAAAGAGAGCAGGAGCCGAAAAAAAAAAAGAAAGAGAGAATCAAAAAAAAAATCCATGCTGAGCAAAAAAAAAAAAGCAGGGCTCCATCTAAAAAAAAAAAGATCATGACCTGAAAAAAAAAAAAGAGTCGGACGCTTAAAAAAAAAAACCCCCAAGGTGCCAAAAAAAAAAACTAGTTTTATGTAAAAAAAAAAACCTTCAACCTCAGGAAAAAAAAAAGAGGCAAAAGTATTAAAAAAAAAAAAACCTAAGTATGAAAAAAAAAAATCTTACTTCTGATGAAAAAAAAAATTCTCAGCCTCCCCAAAAAAAAAATTTCCTGGTTTATTAAAAAAAAAATGCTAATGAAGTTTAAAAAAAAAAGGAAGAATTTAACAAAAAAAAAAAGTAGCCTGATGGAAAAAAAAAAAATTCAAAGAGATGCTAAAAAAAAAAACCTCCAGTCATGGAAAAAAAAAAAGCAGGCAATAAATAAAAAAAAAAACAAAGCTTTCACAAAAAAAAAAAATATGGGTGGTTTAAAAAAAAAAACAAAGTCCCCTCAGAAAAAAAAAATCACAGCAATATCCAAAAAAAAAATCTATAGCCTTAATAAAAAAAAAAAGGTATGCCTCAAAAAAAAAAAAAATCCTCATTCTAAAAAAAAAAAAAACTGGAAACATGGTAAAAAAAAAAAGAGCTCTACCCCTAAAAAAAAAAATGAGAACTAAGACAAAAAAAAAAACAGGCCAGTGAATAAAAAAAAAAACCTATGGCAGATCAAAAAAAAAAAAACTAGGAGCTCCAAAAAAAAAAGGGATAGGTAGCAGAAAAAAAAAATTGCAACAGGCCTGAAAAAAAAAAAGCACATTTCTAAAAAAAAAAAAAGGGCTATAAGCTCCAAAAAAAAAATCAGTTCAGAGGCAAAAAAAAAAATTGTGAAAAACAGAAAAAAAAAAAGAACCAAAATTAAAAAAAAAAAAAGTAATTCCTAGATGAAAAAAAAAATCTATCTATAACCAAAAAAAAAAAGTACAATATTCTTAAAAAAAAAAAATGTACCCTAATTAAAAAAAAAAATATTATTTTAATTTAAAAAAAAAAGAAAATTTGGTATTAAAAAAAAAAGACTAAGAAACTATAAAAAAAAAATTTGTTTCCCTTATAAAAAAAAAAATTTTTTTAAAACTAAAAAAAAAATATGAAATAAACTGAAAAAAAAAATGGTCATTATCTATAAAAAAAAAATGTTTATATAGGATAAAAAAAAAATATTCCTTGAAAGTAAAAAAAAAATTGTCTGTGGAGTCAAAAAAAAAATTTTAGTGTTTTTTAAAAAAAAAACAATGAATCTATTTAAAAAAAAAAAATTGGCCAATTTTAAAAAAAAAAAGATAATGTTATTTAAAAAAAAAACTAGAAAAGTCTCCAAAAAAAAAAGATTTTGAAATTAGAAAAAAAAAACACATAAATTATTTAAAAAAAAAATTTGTTTTAAAGATAAAAAAAAAATTTCTGACAGAGAGAAAAAAAAAAAAAGAGGAAACACAAAAAAAAAAAGTGGGAGAGGGAGAAAAAAAAAAACCGCCGAGCAAGGAAAAAAAAAAAGGGCTTGATCCCCAAAAAAAAAAATCACAACCCGAGCCAAAAAAAAAAACTCAATGACTAAGAAAAAAAAAAACCCCTTACAACCTAAAAAAAAAAAATAGTGAGACCCAAAAAAAAAAAAAGACATAAAATACAAAAAAAAAATTTAATAAGAACAGAAAAAAAAAAATCACACAGGCCAGAAAAAAAAAAGTTACCTGTACCCTAAAAAAAAAACCTTATATACTAGAAAAAAAAAAACCATTCCACTGTCTAAAAAAAAAACTGAAATCATGATCAAAAAAAAAACTATGAAACTAGAAAAAAAAAAAAAAATTAAACCTAAAAAAAAAAAAAAAAAAGGAAATAATAAAAAAAAAACTGGAAATTAAGGAAAAAAAAAAAAGAAAAGAAATCAAAAAAAAAAAAAGCTGGTTTTTGAGAAAAAAAAAAATGATAACTCTTTTAAAAAAAAAATGAGGACAAAGAGAAAAAAAAAAAAAATTTTCAATAACAAAAAAAAAAGTGTGCACATCCTAAAAAAAAAAAAGGATAACAGGAGAAAAAAAAAAACTATGTCAATAAACAAAAAAAAAAAGATGAAATGACAAAAAAAAAAAAAAACCAAAGCCACTAAAAAAAAAAAAGAAGAAAAAGATAAAAAAAAAATATCTAATAAAGACAAAAAAAAAAATCTATTGAGGAAAAAAAAAAAAATTTTATCTGAATTGAAAAAAAAAAGTAGTTCACAACCTAAAAAAAAAACCCAGATGGCTTCAAAAAAAAAAACTACCAAACATTTAAAAAAAAAAAACTACACAATTCTAAAAAAAAAAATCCAGAAAATAGAAAAAAAAAAAAAAGAGGCCAGCATTAAAAAAAAAACAAAACCAAACAAAAAAAAAAAAAAACAAAACCACATAAAAAAAAAAACTCATGAACGTCAAAAAAAAAAAACTAAACAAAACTAAAAAAAAAAAAGGAATTTTGCAACAAAAAAAAAAAATAATATATCATGAAAAAAAAAAATTATCCTAGGGATGAAAAAAAAAATTAATGTTCAATTCAAAAAAAAAACAAGGTACAGTAGTAAAAAAAAAATCCATGGGGGATATAAAAAAAAAACCCCCAGTGGATGCAAAAAAAAAAAGATAGTACCAAACAAAAAAAAAACTACGTTTTTTCCTAAAAAAAAAATATAATAAAGGACAAAAAAAAAAATTAATAACAAATAAAAAAAAAAAACAATTATAACAGTAAAAAAAAAAAAAAGTATGTGAATGAAAAAAAAAACTCTCTAAACATCTAAAAAAAAAAGACTCATCCTTCTTAAAAAAAAAAGATAAATCCCTATGAAAAAAAAAAAAGTGAGGGGAATGAAAAAAAAAAGTGACCTAGCAGGAAAAAAAAAAAGACCTTGTGATGCTAAAAAAAAAAGAGGATCATCTACTAAAAAAAAAAGTGTTGGCCATGGGAAAAAAAAAAGGTGGAAAGTGGAAAAAAAAAAAAGGGGGGACTACCGGAAAAAAAAAAATTAGAAAACTAAAAAAAAAAAAACATATGACCATCTCAAAAAAAAAAAAAAAGGATTTGAAAAAAAAAAAAATTCATCTTTGACCAAAAAAAAAATTCTCAGGGGCACCAAAAAAAAAAAGTCGCTTAAGCGTAAAAAAAAAAGTTTCAACTCAGGTAAAAAAAAAAGGGTCATAAGCTCGAAAAAAAAAATGAGCTCTATGCTCAAAAAAAAAACAGCTTGGGATTCTAAAAAAAAAACTCCCACCCCCTATAAAAAAAAAAGCCACTGCTCACACAAAAAAAAAATCTCCCCCCTCCCCAAAAAAAAAAAAATAAATAAATAAAAAAAAAAAAGAAGCTTTTTCAGCAAAAAAAAAATAGAAAGGAACTTCAAAAAAAAAATAAAGGGCATCTGTAAAAAAAAAACAGCCACGGTTATAAAAAAAAAAAACAGAATAAATACTAAAAAAAAAAGACAGACAAGGCAAAAAAAAAAAATTTCACCACTTTTAAAAAAAAAAATACTGGAGAGTCTAAAAAAAAAAAAAGGCAAGAAAAATAAAAAAAAAACATACAGATTGGAAAAAAAAAAAAAGACTGCTCCTATCAAAAAAAAAAATGACTGTGTATAGAAAAAAAAAAAAAGATTCTAAATGAAAAAAAAAAGCTTAAAAAAAATAAAAAAAAAAAGGTCACAGGATATGAAAAAAAAAAATTTTAAAAATCAAAAAAAAAAAAATACATTAGCAATGAAAAAAAAAAAAATGAAATTACAAAAAAAAAAAATACTAAAAAAAAAAAAAAAAAAAAACACTTATAATAGTAAAAAAAAAAGAATTACATAGGGAAAAAAAAAAAGAAAGATGTGTAGCAAAAAAAAAATGGCTCAGTTGGTTAAAAAAAAAACTTCAGCTCAGGTCAAAAAAAAAAAGTCCTGGGATTGAAAAAAAAAAAGGGCTCCCTGCTCCAAAAAAAAAATGCTTCTCCCTCTAAAAAAAAAAACTGCTTGTGCCCTCAAAAAAAAAAATGCACTCTCTCTCAAAAAAAAAAAAATAAATAATTTTAAAAAAAAAATGTTAATCACCATAAAAAAAAAAATTTTGATGTAGTGTAAAAAAAAAAATTATTGGCGTATAAAAAAAAAAACTCCATTCAACACAAAAAAAAAAAAATACCCATCACCAAAAAAAAAAATTCCTCCACCCCCCAAAAAAAAAAAACCCTCAGTTTGTAAAAAAAAAACCATAGTCTCTCATAAAAAAAAAACCCCTCCGATTCCTAAAAAAAAAATTTTCCCTTCCTACAAAAAAAAAATTCTTCTTCTTTTTAAAAAAAAAAGTATTATTTGTTTCAAAAAAAAAAGTCTATGATTCAACAAAAAAAAAAAATTCACAGTGCTCAAAAAAAAAAATACCCTCCCCAATAAAAAAAAAACCAGCCACCCCAACAAAAAAAAAACCCACCACTCCAGCAAAAAAAAAATTGTTTCCTGAGATAAAAAAAAAATCATTATCAGTGAGAAAAAAAAAAACATGTCTTTCTCTAAAAAAAAAATTTCGCTTAGCATAAAAAAAAAAAGTTCTAGCCACGTCAAAAAAAAAAGCAAGATTTCTTTTAAAAAAAAAACTGCATAATATTCCAAAAAAAAAATACTACATCTTCTTAAAAAAAAAATTGTTGATGGACATAAAAAAAAAATCCATAGTTTGGCTAAAAAAAAAATTGCTGCTATAAACAAAAAAAAAAAGGTGCCCCTTCGGAAAAAAAAAATTGTATCTTTGGGAAAAAAAAAAAGGAGTATAATTGCTAAAAAAAAAAGTAGCTCTATTTTCAAAAAAAAAAGGAACCTCCATACTAAAAAAAAAAGTGGCTGCACCAGCAAAAAAAAAAACTAACAGTGTAGGAAAAAAAAAATTTCTCCGCATCCCAAAAAAAAAAGTCGTTTCCTGACTAAAAAAAAAAAGCCATTCTGACTGAAAAAAAAAAGTATCTCGTTGAGGAAAAAAAAAAGATTTCCCTGATGCAAAAAAAAAATGAGCACTTTTTCAAAAAAAAAAAGGCCATTTGGATGTAAAAAAAAAAGAAATGTCTGTTCAAAAAAAAAAACCATTTCTTGACTGAAAAAAAAAATCTTTGGGTGTTGAAAAAAAAAAATTCTTTATAGATTTAAAAAAAAAATCCTTTATCTGATTAAAAAAAAAAAAATATCTTCTCCCAAAAAAAAAATTGTCTTTTGATTTAAAAAAAAAATTCCTTTGCTGTGCAAAAAAAAAATATCTTGATGAAGTAAAAAAAAAACATTTTTGCCCTTGAAAAAAAAAACTTTGGCGATGTTTAAAAAAAAAAGTTGCTGCGGCTGAAAAAAAAAAAGTTGCTGCCTGTGTAAAAAAAAAAGATTTTGATGGACTAAAAAAAAAAATTTAGGTCTTTCAAAAAAAAAAAGTCTATTTCTGTGTAAAAAAAAAAGAAATGGTCCAGTTAAAAAAAAAAGCATGTGGCTGTCCAAAAAAAAAAACACCATTTGTTGAAAAAAAAAAATTTTTTCCATTAGAAAAAAAAAAATGCTTTACCGAAGAAAAAAAAAAAATAAAGGATGTGTAAAAAAAAAAAACTAAAAACTGTTGAAAAAAAAAAATACACAATAAAACAAAAAAAAAATTTTATTGTGTATAAAAAAAAAAAAATATTGACTCAATAAAAAAAAAATACCTGACTCAATAAAAAAAAAAAGTCAATTCTTCACAAAAAAAAAAATAGATAAAATGTAAAAAAAAAAAAAATCCCAATAGGGTAAAAAAAAAAAACTGATAAGCTAAAAAAAAAAAATTCATATATGGAAAAAAAAAAAAATAGAATGGCCTGCTAAAAAAAAAAAAAGAACAACAGGGAAAAAAAAAAGGCTCAGTCATTAAAAAAAAAAAATCGGCTCAGGTCATAAAAAAAAAATCCTGGGATCAAGCAAAAAAAAAAATCAGGCTCCCTGCAAAAAAAAAATCCTGCTTCTCCCTAAAAAAAAAATCCGTCCCCAGCTGAAAAAAAAAATCGCTCACTCTCTCAAAAAAAAAAATAAAATCTTTGGGAAAAAAAAAAAGAACAAATTTGGAAAAAAAAAAACTGGATTTCAAAAAAAAAAAAAAAGCAGTAATCCAGATAAAAAAAAAACAGAACACAACAGAAAAAAAAAAATAATATTCACTGTGAAAAAAAAAACATATCGAGCGCTGAAAAAAAAAAGAGCAACACCAACAAAAAAAAAAATGCTGACACGAGTGAAAAAAAAAATAACAGTTTCTTAAAAAAAAAAAAACACACATACCACTAAAAAAAAAACATCCCATTCCTAGAAAAAAAAAAAAGAGAAATGAAAGAAAAAAAAAAGTACATAAATATGCAAAAAAAAAATGTTTGCAATAATCAAAAAAAAAACAATTCAAATGCCCAAAAAAAAAAAATGGATAGTGTATAAAAAAAAAATGAAATACAACTCAAAAAAAAAAAGCATGAACTTTTAAAAAAAAAAAAAATCTGTGTGAATCAAAAAAAAAATATGCCTCGTCAAAAAAAAAAAAACAAAAAAGTATACAAAAAAAAAAAATAAATTCTAGAAAAAAAAAAAAAATCTTTGGTGTTGGAAAAAAAAAAAGACATTGCCTGGGAAAAAAAAAAGGCTGGAAGGAGAAAAAAAAAAAAGGTACAAGGAAACTAAAAAAAAAATAGATATTTTCCTTAAAAAAAAAACATAATCATTTTGTAAAAAAAAAAATAATTTAGAAATTAAAAAAAAAAATGTGTAGTTTGCGAAAAAAAAAATAAATCAAGTCAACAAAAAAAAAATGCTAAAAACAAACAAAAAAAAAATAAGGGCAAAATAGAAAAAAAAAATTCATCTCATCCAGAAAAAAAAAATCCTTAGCAGGATTAAAAAAAAAATGACCTGCCTTATTAAAAAAAAAAGCTGTTACCAGCCCAAAAAAAAAACTGGGGGGACAAAAAAAAAAAAAACAGCATGATCTATTAAAAAAAAAATCCTCTTGTAAGTGAAAAAAAAAACTATTCAGTTACCAAAAAAAAAAAACTGTTGAGAATAAAAAAAAAAAATCTCACCCTCATCCAAAAAAAAAATCCATTCCTCTCTCAAAAAAAAAAGTAACACCGAATGGAAAAAAAAAAGAAAATTGGCTAGAAAAAAAAAAATACTTCCTGAATTAAAAAAAAAAATAGTGACACATGCAAAAAAAAAAATAAATTACAATTTTAAAAAAAAAATCTGTATTTGGTAGAAAAAAAAAAGCTTTTCAGATATAAAAAAAAAAAAGTTGAAATTTTTTAAAAAAAAAATTTGGGGGCACCTGAAAAAAAAAATTGGTTAAGCGTCTAAAAAAAAAACGTGATCTCAGTGTAAAAAAAAAAAGCCCCACTTCGGGAAAAAAAAAAAGCTTGGTTTTCCCAAAAAAAAAATCTCTGCTCACACTAAAAAAAAAACTCAAATAGATAATAAAAAAAAAAATTTTTAAAATAAAAAAAAAAAAACAGTTGGTGTTCAGAAAAAAAAAACATATTTAGTGAAAAAAAAAAAAACATTCAGTTTTGCAAAAAAAAAAACAGGAAGTACAAGCAAAAAAAAAAATGCGCCCCCCCCCAAAAAAAAAAAACATGCAAGATATAAAAAAAAAATGCAAGCAAGTGGGAAAAAAAAAATTAATTTGGTTTTCAAAAAAAAAATTCTCACTCCCGAAAAAAAAAAAACTTCCCACCCTACTAAAAAAAAAATCATGTTCAAAATAAAAAAAAAAACATTGGGGAAAACAAAAAAAAAAAATATTTCAACTGGGAAAAAAAAAAACTAGTTTAAAAACAAAAAAAAAAAGCATTTCTTTCAAAAAAAAAAAACAGTCCCTTATTGCAAAAAAAAAATTGCCCTTATCTACAAAAAAAAAATCACATTTAATCTTAAAAAAAAAAGTAATAAAACAGCCAAAAAAAAAAACCTGCTCAAATAGAAAAAAAAAAGCGCCAACTTTCTGAAAAAAAAAATCGCATCTAGCTCTAAAAAAAAAACTCCTAGATCATGTAAAAAAAAAATTTCCTTCCTCAAAAAAAAAAAAATGTTTTGGTCAGTAAAAAAAAAAACCATTAAAATCAGCAAAAAAAAAATCCACTGGATCATAAAAAAAAAAAATTCATCCATCTGTAAAAAAAAAATTATAATATAAATGAAAAAAAAAAAATAAATCAAACAGAAAAAAAAAAACCAAATTTAAAAAAAAAAAAAAAACCTGTGTCCAACTAAAAAAAAAACTCTCATTCTTAATAAAAAAAAAACATCCCTACCCTGAAAAAAAAAAATTGTTCACTATACTAAAAAAAAAAACCCTCCTCCTCCTAAAAAAAAAAGTCAAGGGTATTAAAAAAAAAAAACTGCAGTTCCCCGAAAAAAAAAAAAGGCATTGAAGGGCAAAAAAAAAAACTCTCAAGGATGCAAAAAAAAAAAATTCTTGAGGGAAAAAAAAAAAATGTGTGACATCAATAAAAAAAAAACGAACTTGACATAGAAAAAAAAAACAACCTTAGATGCAAAAAAAAAAATCTGATGACATCTTAAAAAAAAAAAGCTGGTTTTATTGAAAAAAAAAAGGTTAAAAAAAAAAAAAAAAAAAACTTTGGGAAAATCAAAAAAAAAAAGGGTGGCACTGTCCAAAAAAAAAACAAGGTTAGAGAAGAAAAAAAAAATCCAAGTACATATGAAAAAAAAAAAAGTAATTCTGATCAAAAAAAAAAAAAATAAAAGGTTCAAAAAAAAAAATGTATGTATATCTAAAAAAAAAAATTAAGACATTAAAAAAAAAAAAAGCCTGAGTGGCTCAAAAAAAAAAACATCTGCTTTCGGCAAAAAAAAAAATCCCAGGGTCCTGAAAAAAAAAACCGCATCAGGCTCCAAAAAAAAAACTGAGCCTGCTTCTAAAAAAAAAAGCTGCTCCTCCTGCAAAAAAAAAATCGCTCTCACTCATAAAAAAAAAAACAAAATAAATTTAAAAAAAAAAAATTTTAAAAAAAGAAAAAAAAAAATACAAAGCTTATTTAAAAAAAAAATTAGAATCAGGCAGAAAAAAAAAAAAAAAATGGTTAGGAAAAAAAAAATGGCAGGGGCCAGGAAAAAAAAAATAATAGAGAAGATGAAAAAAAAAACAAAGAAATTATTTAAAAAAAAAAAACTCAAATGTTTGAAAAAAAAAAGAAAATTTAGTTATAAAAAAAAAATGATAGTTGTTCTTAAAAAAAAAATTTCCATAATCAAGAAAAAAAAAATGACTATAATTAGTAAAAAAAAAATCTTAGATTCAAGTAAAAAAAAAATGGTTTTGGTTTGTAAAAAAAAAATACCACAGGCACAAAAAAAAAAAAAGTCTAAAGGCCTCAAAAAAAAAATGTTTTGACATATAAAAAAAAAAAAAACAGTTACTAAGAAAAAAAAAAAGAAATATTTAGTAAAAAAAAAAAACCTAGCCACTTAAAAAAAAAAAATCTGAGGTATTTCTAAAAAAAAAAGAGTATGAAAATACAAAAAAAAAAAGGGCAGTGTGAACAAAAAAAAAATGGGAACCTCTGCAAAAAAAAAAATGTGGAGGCTGGGAAAAAAAAAAAAAATGCAGAAAACTAAAAAAAAAACAAACATCTAAGCAAAAAAAAAAATTCAAATGCTCTATAAAAAAAAAATGTTGGTGAGTTCCAAAAAAAAAATCTCTAGGCTTAAAAAAAAAAAAATCTGAGAAGTTTTTAAAAAAAAAACTGGCTTTAATTTGAAAAAAAAAAACGTTTCTATGGTAAAAAAAAAAACTCTATTATAACGGAAAAAAAAAATGTGACCTCAATTAAAAAAAAAAACACTTTAAGACACGAAAAAAAAAATTATCCCTCAAAAAAAAAAAAAAAACTTGGCAGAGAATAAAAAAAAAAATAGATGTTTGTTAAAAAAAAAAATAAAAATCAATCTTAAAAAAAAAACTGGTGGTAAAACCAAAAAAAAAACACCTCAGAAGGAAAAAAAAAAAATGACCTAAAGCAATAAAAAAAAAAGTATTTTTACACCTAAAAAAAAAAATCAGGAACAGGGCAAAAAAAAAAAGAAATGGTTTAAAAAAAAAAAAATCCCATTTCACAAGAAAAAAAAAATGTACCCCCCACATAAAAAAAAAATGCCCCTGCTGCTTAAAAAAAAAAATAAATTCCTAACTAAAAAAAAAAATACCAATGCCCTGAAAAAAAAAATCATTGAAAGAACTAAAAAAAAAATACATAAAATATTAAAAAAAAAAAAACTGTCCCTAATAAAAAAAAAAAAACATGTTATCTTCAAAAAAAAAATATATTGGAGAGATAAAAAAAAAAAATCTAGGACATGCAAAAAAAAAAGGGAATTTAAAATTAAAAAAAAAATAAACACAAAAGTAAAAAAAAAAATTTCGCAAAGATATAAAAAAAAAATTTGTAATTAGAGAAAAAAAAAAATAACTTTTATAATAAAAAAAAAAATTACTGTGATCCTGAAAAAAAAAACATAAGAGAATTTTAAAAAAAAAAAGTGATTTTCTTTTAAAAAAAAAATTATTCCAAATTTAAAAAAAAAAACAGGGATGACAAGTAAAAAAAAAACTACCTTCTGATTTAAAAAAAAAAAAATAATTTGTCCCAAAAAAAAAAAAGTGACTTTAATAAAAAAAAAAAGAAATTTATGTTATAAAAAAAAAATTTTGAAAATGGATAAAAAAAAAATCCACCTTGGTATGAAAAAAAAAATGATGACACATAGCAAAAAAAAAAAAACTTTTATTTTTAAAAAAAAAATTTATTTATTTATTAAAAAAAAAAACACAGCAAGAGAGAAAAAAAAAACAGGGGGTGTGGGAAAAAAAAAAACAGGCTTCCCGCTGAAAAAAAAAACCAATGCGGGGCTCAAAAAAAAAACCCTGGGATCATGAAAAAAAAAAAAGGCAGATGCTTAAAAAAAAAAAACAGGCGCCCCTAAAAAAAAAAAAATTATGTACTTGAAAAAAAAAAAAAGTTTCTAATTGTTCAAAAAAAAAACAATTAAAGTGTTTAAAAAAAAAATAAATCTTTTATTGAAAAAAAAAATGTTAAAATGTAGAAAAAAAAAAATGTCTAATGTCAGCAAAAAAAAAAGACTGACATTAGAGAAAAAAAAAAATTTTACTAGTCAAAAAAAAAAAAACCTTTGCATAACAAAAAAAAAAATAAAGGATGAGTCTAAAAAAAAAATAAATACAGTCAATAAAAAAAAAATTCAATTTCGATTCAAAAAAAAAAGCAAGCTATCATTTAAAAAAAAAAGTCCTTAAAAGCAAAAAAAAAAAATGACCTTCAAATGAAAAAAAAAAAAAGTATTAACTTGTAAAAAAAAAAAATTATAAAGCCTGAAAAAAAAAATCAGTTTTTTAACTAAAAAAAAAAATTATCTTAAATGTAAAAAAAAAAAACACAAAAATAGAAAAAAAAAAAATTTAAGACCTAAAAAAAAAAAAAGAATCCATCAAAATAAAAAAAAAAAACACAGGCAGCAAAAAAAAAAAACTCAGCCGCAACTTAAAAAAAAAAACATCGCCAAAGGCAAAAAAAAAAAGGGCAAAAATGAAAAAAAAAAA